ACGGCTTCTCTTTGGTGAGGTGTGTGATGATGTGAACTGGAATTGGGACCAGATGTTCCCCACCTCTTCAGTGGGAACCAGCAGAGATGCGGGTTCTAATCTGACCCCACTGCAGATGCCCAGTATGTGGGATCTGAGCACATGATCCCCAGGGCTGAGGAGAGTAAGGCGCTTGCCCACAGGGGGCTGCAAAGGGAAACCATCATTTCACATCCGACTGGGTTTTCTCTACCAGCTTCCCCATCCTAGACCTGGAGACAGTCACCGGGCCAAGGCACATTGGACTGGTCAGAGGCCCTCCTCCTGTGAATGGAACTCACAAGGTACAGAGCACTTTAGGAGACTTTGTCTCTTCTGATCCTCACAGAAACCCCAGGAGGAAAGGGAAGGCTGGCCCCGCTATTTGGTTTGTTAGCATTTTCCACCCAGGAGAAACAGAGTCAGTGGGGCGGGGCAGAGGAAGGGGGTCACTGCACAATCCCAGAGCGCTTTGCTTCGTGTCACACAAGGATACTAAACAACGGACCCCAAACCTGTTCGGTTTCTTGGCTTCGCAGGAGAAAGAATTCACGCCTGGTTTGTGATCTAAGTGGGTTTTTATAAAGGAAGAAGCTTCAGGTTTTACCGTCTCAAAAGAGTACAGGCTAATTCGGGCGGGGAAGCGTGCCAAACTGCATAAACTGCACTGGGGCTCACCACTGAGCACCGGCGACCTGGTGGGCCTGCTCACCCACGCGTGGTGACCTGAGGCCAGAGAGACCTCAGGGGACTCCCAGGAGAGAGGGCAGACAGCAGAAGAGAGCAGGAGAGCCCACCTGCTAAGGTATTTAAAGCCTCTGCAGGGAAGGCGTGTCGAAGGCATTGGTTGACCCCAGTGGCTGAATCAAGTCCACCTGGCTGGGGGCAGGGCTGAATTGGAGCATGCCCACTTGAAGGGCCCTCATAGGTGTTTAGTGCTCACCTGATTGCTTCCCAACCTCCCATAGGGGGGCTTCAGGCAACCCTGTCCCTATTCTGCGACCTCCCAAACCTACCAGCCCTGATGAGGGTGAGGGCCTCTGTGAACAGCATGCAGAGTGGGTGGGGAGAGGTCAGCACCATTCCTGTCTTTTGCTAAGCCCTGGGGCTCGAGTCGAACTGTGGGGAGCTCTGCCTGGGCTTCCATTAATGAGGGGAGGGGAGAAGTGAGGAGGTCACTCGGGATCTAAATCAGCCTGATCTCCGGCAGGAGCCCCCAAAGAGATCTTTGGGATAATCTGTTCTTCATCCAAGGTGGGGAAAGGAAACCCGGATAGGTTTGCCTGATTGGAAAAAAAAAAGTAAAATATTTTTTTAAAAGAACACTAGAAAAGGTGTGTGTATTAGCTGATCATGAGATGGAAAAGAAAGAGGAGGTCATTTGAAAGGGAAGACAGAGATAGCTAATAGACAACTTTTCACCCAGGAAACCCTCCCAACCACTCCCCACACCCCCACCTACCCCCACCTTCACCATGACCCAGTCACACAAGACCCGGCCCTTGGCAGACTGCAAGGCACCAGTCTGGCAAGAGCCAGCACAAGTGACTCTTCTGCAAGCAGGGAGCCACCTTCAATACAGCAGTGACAAAGCAGTGACAGAGTCCCACAGAAATGCCAACCCGGCACTTACTGGGGCAGGTAACCTCGGCACCCTGGGCGGGGTCCTTGGAGTTTGAAGGCTCTGCCCTTCCTGTCACGTGGACTGGAGTCCTGGGGGAGGATCAAAGAAAGGAGGGAGGCAGGAGGAAGACCTGGGGCATAGAAGAGGACCCTGCAGAGCAGGTGAGGAGGGAGGGAGGAGCCTACATCTGAAACCCTAGCAAGATGCTCTCCTTCCTGTTTCCTGGATTCTGTAACTTTCCTCCAGAGCTGTACCAGTTTGTCATGCTAGCTTAAAAGGAAAATAAGGGCAGAGTGACATGGTGGCCAAATGATAGCCAAGATGTCCCCTCCCAAGGTCCTGGGTTTGAACGTCTGACCAATAGGTTCCCAACATGCAACCCGTGTAAGGGTAGTTCCCTCTCTCTATCCTAAAGAGAATAAAAACAAATAACCACACACACACACAAAGATGAGACGCTGAAAGGGGTTAGGGCAAACTTGAGGGAATAAAAGATTAAAGAGAGCAAGTAGGTGACAGGGGCAAGAGTGGGGGCCAGGGAATGGAAGGGTCAGGGTAAAGCCACCAGCTAGGAACTGCTCCCCAATTCTGCTGGCTTGGAGCTTTTCAGTTAATGTGTCCAATGACTTCGTGCTGAAAGGTGACTGCCCAGCCATTCGGGATGCTCTTAGGTCTGCTGCAGCAGAGAAGTCCTGCTGGCAATTCCCAGCTCATTACCATGGCAACAGTCATGCTTCTTCCATCCCATCATGGCCCCTTCCCCAGACCTCCCTCCAGCCCCAGTACAGGGAGAGACCTGAGACCCTCGTCTCCAGAGAGTCAGATTTAGAGGTGATCTTGTGGCGAGCTTGGAGTCCCTGGGTGTTGCAAACAGTTAACATGCTTGGCTGTTGGCCCAAAGGGTGGAGCTTGGATCTACCCAGATGCGCCTCGGAAGAAAGACCAGGAAAGTCAGCCTGAGAAGCACCTGCAGGTCTACTCTGACACACATGGGTCACTATGAGCTGGAATCAACTCTATGACACTGGTTTTTGTTTTTGCTTGATTGTGCTGGGCTCATTTTTGTGGTTGGAGCCTTCCAGGGAGGAGACAGCAGACAGGGAGAGCTGGGAGGGGCCCAGCACATGACAGGCAGCCAGGCCAAGAGGACCAGCCGGTAGTAGCAAAGGGCTTGCTGGCATACAAGAGAGAGCACTGTGATAAATACAGATGCCTTTATTGTCTCCTCCCAAGGTGCCCAGTGGTTCTGACGGAGCTTCATTCACTCCCAGGCAGGCCGAAGAGGATCAGAGATAGAGGAGAAGACATTCAGGAGGAGCAAGAGCAGGGAGGGGCTGCAGTTAGCCGGGGCATCAGAAAGAGCTGGCTGCAGCAACATAGATGTCCTTATAGCCCTTGATCTCCTTGACCTCACTGCTGCTGATGAGGACTTGCAGCTGGCGGGGTCCGGCTTTGATGGGGTAGAGGTTCAGCTGAATTCCGATGGTGTGTCCGGCCACCAAAGTCCCAAGGCTGAAAGATCAAAAGGGCCTGTTTGTCAGAACCTTGAGGAGTAACCACTTGATGGGTGATCTGAGTTTTACTCCTTTGCCCTCTGGGTAGGTATCTCCCACCCTCCAATACCACAGAGCTCAACCTTCCCTAAGGAAAATGGGAAAGTTGTGGGGCTGGGGGGAGGCAAGGAGGTACCACCCAGGAGACTGAAAACAGCTTTATGATCCCTCCCCTCATCCGAGACCAGAGTGAGCGAGATGGACAGGTGGCATTACTTACTCTTTTGATATCTGCCCATCAATGAGGCCACTTCCCTCCAGCACCATCGTGCAGTTACTCAGAGACTCCGTTTGACTATTGGTGAGGGTGATGTGGACTCTCAATGCCTTGCCCACTTCCGCCCTCTCAGACACCTGTGTGGACAGAAGATGGAGGCTTCTTGGGCAACTAACCTCCTTTCCGTACTCTGATTCAATAACCTTCCTCCCCATCCCCCGATGACCAGCCAAGAACTGCCACTTAAAGCTGAGGTCCTGTAGCTGGGAAAGGAAAACAGGAGCTCAGACTTTTCAAGTCTAGGAGGTCACAATATGGGAGCCTGAGAGGAAACAGGATCCTAACTAACTGGTCTGCTAACTGCAAGAAGCTCACACTACTCCAGGAAGCCACACCAGTTGAGAATTGGGGGTTGAATCATCCAACTCAAGATGGCACCCAGATTTTCAACTTAAGGACCTCCAATTGGCTAGTGGTGGCTAATTACCTGCTTGTCCTACTGTGTGTGGTGACTTGCGTGTGGCTATGATGCTGGAAGTTACCTCACTGGTATTTTCAAATACCAAAAGAGCCGCCTAAATGTGAACCGGTTTTGGCAGAACTGCCAGACTAAGAGCAGACTTCAAAGAAGGAATAGGCTGTCCACTTTTGAGGAATTAGCCACTGACAGTCTTATGGATAACATCAAAATATTGTCAGGTACTGAAAAGCTCACGATGAGAAGCAGACCACCACCCGATAGATAGATGAGCCCCTCAGGTCAGAAGACGTTCAAAATGCGACTGTGAAAGAGCTGCCTTCTCAAAGTCGAGCTGACCATAGATGGCATGGTTGGAGGACAGCCTTTGATGGGGCAGGACGCAAAATGAGAAGAAACAGTTGAAAACATGTATTAATAATTGGACGTGAGAATGGAAGAAGTATGAATTTAGAAAAAAATGGAAGTCATCAAAAGTGAAATGGAGCACGTAACAGTGCTCCTAGGCATTCATCAGCAGAAGTGAACTGGCAGTGGTCATTGTGAATTAGCACATCATGGGGTTCACTATGCCAGGAAGGGCAGATTCGAAAGGAATGGGGTTACACTCGTCGTCCAAAAGGACATGTCAAGATCTATCTCGAAGTACAATGCTGTCTGTGATAGGATAAGATCTGTTCGCATATAAGGAAATCCAGTCAATATTATTCAACTGTATGCACCAACCACTAAAGTTGGTGATGAAGAAACCGAAGGATTCTACTGATGAACTTTTCCTTCTGAAATGGATCAACAATGCGATCAAGATGCACTAATAATTACTGGTGATTGGAATCCAACAGTTGGAAACAAAGAGGAGGAAACCAAAACAAGGCTCCCGGAATTGATGACGTGCCCATGGAAATGTGTGCACGAGCTGACGGAGCACTGAGGCACGCCCTCACCGGTGTCAGGAAAACTGGGAAGAGAGCTGCCTGGTTAACTGACTGGAAGAGGTCCATATTTGTACCTATTCCAAAGAGAGGTGACCCAACAGAATGCACACATTTCAGAACAATATCATTAATATTACATGCAAGTAAAATGTTGCTCATGATCATTCAACAACAATCATCATTCAATGCAGCAGTACATGGACAGGAAGCTGCCAGAGATTCAAGCCTGATTCAGAAGAGGACATGGAGCAAGAGATATCATTGCTGACGTCAGGTGGATCTCGGCTCCAAGAAGAGAATACCAGAAAGATGTCTGTTTATGCTTTATTGACTATGAAAAGACATTCAGCTGTGTGGAGCACAGCAAACTGTGGATAGCCTTGAGAAGAATGGGAATGCTCACCTGGAACCTGTACTTGGATCAAGAGGCAGTTTTGTGAACAGAACAAGGGAATAGTGCATTGTTTAAAATCAAGAAGGGTGTGGGTCAGGGTTGTATCTTCTCATTCAATCTGTATGCTGAGCAAAGGACAATCAGAGAAGCTTGGTTATATGCCAAAGAATGTGGTATTAGGATTAGAAGGAGGTTTATTTAACAACGGGCTATATACAGATGATAGCACCTTGCTTGCTGGAAGTAAGGAAGAATTGAAGCACTTGCTGATAAAGATTGTAGCCTTCACTATGAATTTCAATTCAAGAAAACAAAAACCCTCAAACTGGACCAATAGATAGCCTCTTGATAAAGGAAGAAAAGATCAAAGTTGTCATGGATTTCATCTTACTGGGATCCACACGCAATGCTCATGGAAGCAGCAGTCAAGAGATCAAATTGCAAGCAATTGGACATCTTGTTACAGAAGGGTCGTGGGGAGAAGACAGGCCAGTCAGAGTGCAGTATAGCACCGATGAAACATACAGCTTTCCTCTGGTTCTTTAATGCTTTCTCCCCAACACTATCATGACCCTAATGCTACCTACAAATCTGGCTAAACCAGAGCATGTACATGGGTACAGATAAGAGCTGGAAACACAGGGAATACAGGGCAGACAAATTCCTCGGAACCAATATTGAGAGTAGCCCTACCAGGAGGGTAAGGGGAAGGTGAGGAGAGAAAGGGGGAACTGATCACAATGGCCTACCTATAACCCCTCCCTTGGGGATGGACAACAGACAGTGGGTAAAGGGAATCTTTGGACAGTTCAAGACATGAAAAAAATAATAATTTATAAATTATCAAGGGTTCACGAGGAAGGGAGGGAGAGGCAGGGGGAAAAGATGAGGAGCTGATAGCAAAGGCTCAAGTAGAAAGAAAATGCTTTAAAAAATAGAGATCAAATTGCATTGGGTAAATCTGCTGTACTAAACCTCTTTAAAGTGTTGAAAAGCAAAGGTGTTACTTTGAGGGCTAAGGTGTGCCTGGTCAAAGCCATGGTACTTTCAATCAACTCACATGTATATGAAAGCTGGACATTGAATAAGGAAGACCTAAGAAAAACTGATACACTTGAACTATGGTGGTGACAAAGAACATTGAAAGGACCATGGGCTGCCAAAAGAACAAACAAACCTGTCTTTGAAGAAGCACAGCCAGAAAGCTTCTTAGAAGCAAGAACGTTGAGACTTTGTTGCACATGCTTTGGACATGTAATGAGAGAGACCAGTCCCTGGCAAAGGACATCATGCTTGGTAACACAGAGGGGCAATGAAAAACAGGAAGACCGTTGACAAAATGGATCAATACAGTGGCTGCAACAACGGGCTCAAACATAAGAACAATTGTGAGGCTGGTGCACGATTGGGTGGTGTTCATTCTGTGGTTCATAGGGCAGCTACGAGTCAGAACCAACTTGATGTCATCTCACAACTACCACACAATAGAAACGCCGTGTTAGTAAGGATCTTCAGGAGAAAGCCAGACTCAGAGAATCATAATTGATTAGTAATGCCTGTTACAGGCATGGAATAAGAACGTGGCGCCATGTGCTCCATTATGTGCCCTAGTAATGTCATTCCACCCTTCCAGTCTACAGATGAGCAAAGTTGGCCAAAGTCACATGATAGGTTAATAGCAGAGCCAAGACCTGAGCCAGGTATCTCAGACCAGGATCTTTTCTGTATTCAGATACAGAACACTACATATATTTTCCAGGGGTTTTCAGCGTCTCATATGTGAGAACTCTGTCGTGGGACAGCTCTTTGAGTCCCTCTGGGGGCCCTGACAGTGGGAGGCAATGAGTTTGTTCTATTCCTTTCTAGAGGCCCAGTACGTAGTACAGTGCTAGCCAATTGCCAGATATCAGTAACCTGTGTTGAACTTAAATGAACTCTAACCACCCAGGTGATACTGGGTGTTCTGCCTCTGTCGGAGAATCAGAGAGAAGGAAGAACAGATCCTGACTTCTCTGGGATGCACATGAAGGGAACACATCCTGGCTCCTGATGAGGACCTTGCAGTAGAGCGGGTTAAAGTAACTAGCATCGTCATCCCCGGGTCCCTGACAGATTGGGGACTAATGAACAGATTCCTTGGTGTCTGATCCGTGTGCTTCAAGATCCTGGTGTCATCAGGACTCACTGGTAGAGGGTGGGGCCCTCACCTTGGCACCAGGCTTATGTTTGCACCTGTGATTCTGCCCATTGCTGCCCTGCAGCCCCACCCCGCCCAGTGAGAACCGGTAGAGGGGCCAGGGGGGTTGTGAGGTGGGGCATGCTGCCACCAGGTCGGCTAGGTGCAGTACCAGGTTTGGATTAGACAGTGGGGAAGGTCTTCCAGAGGAGGTGGAGGTGTCTGGGGGGCGGGAGGGAGGTCAGAGGCTCCAGGGGAAGGAAAATTCTGGTAGCAGGAGACGGGGAGCAGGAATATGCCCCTCTCCGTTCAACCTGCCTTCACCAGCAGTTTCTTTCTCATTTCATGGTCTCAGCTAGATGCTGCCCAGGCATCTGACCTAGAAAATGGTCTCACGGTGAATCCGTCTGCCTCTTCCTTGTCACCTCACCAGTCAGTCACATTTTGCACTTAGCCATGTGGTCCAGTGTCTCTACTCCATCTCCCAGGCTCTGCATTTTGTGTCTCTTGGCCTTTGCCAATGTATTTTCTTATTTGAAATGCTTCCACCTCACCCTCCTTTCGAAAGAGGTCACCTTTGAGAAACCTTCATCCCCACCCACACTTTGTAACAGAGACCATGGGTTTTGCTGGAAAGCCGGCCTGTGACTGTCCGTGTCTGGGTTTCTGTCCCCCGACAGAGCCTTGGCAATGTTGGATTAGTCAGAGAGCCCCTGGGCCCCACCTCTGCCCAACAGCCTCACCTCAATAGATAAGTGGGGCGACTCCAGAGAGATATCTTTCAGGACCAGCATGGACCTCCCCGTCTCCTTAACCTTGGCAATGCCAGACACGCGGATCAGCTTTTCATCCGTCAGCCGGTTTCTGTAATTGTTGTAGGGCAGCAGGAGAGGCCACTCTATGTCTAAGCAGAGACAGGAACAGCTTGAGTCCAGGGACAGGGGCTTTGAGAATGTTTATCTGGCCTTCAGCTTCCTGCCACTGCTCGGGGTGGTGGGGTGTGGTGGGGTGGGGTGTGTGTGTGTGTGTGTGTGTGTGGTGTTATCTCTGGGTGACCATGTTGGACCTGCCCCATGTACTTGTCCCCATAACTCCCCTCCCTAAAGGGTTACCACAGGCCTGCCTCATACTCACCCTGCCCGAAGTCCAAGTTCAAGTGGACCAGTTGCCTCCAGAGGGGCTCCCGGGTGCGTCCCCCATGCAGCAGGGCCTGCGCACAGAAGTGTAGTACCAGCCTGATGGGGCCCCGGGGGTGGGTTCTGCCTGGCACCCTCCGGGCACGCAGTGTCAGCAACAGGTCCTGGCCCCATTGAGGCGTCCTGGCCAGGTGGAGCTGCAGCTGGGCCGGCTGGCCCTCCATGCCCCCAGACCCCAGCAGGTCCAGGAAGGGTGATGAGGCCCTTCTTGAGCCCAGCATCCTCCAGGAGGCCTTCATGAACACAGACCGCTCCTCACGGGATCCTGGGGGAAAGCAGCCCAGGGAGGGGTCAGTGGAGAGGAGTCAGAAGATGAAGCCACCTGCTTCATGGTAACGCCAGACCCCCTCCCAAAGCCCCGACCACATGAAAAGCAATTAGGGAGACAATACAGCATTAGGTTTGACGCCGCTCAGTTCCGAGTTCCAATCCTTGCTCTAACTAATCACAGTTCCCTAATCTTTTGGCGTTCGCCTGCCATCTAGAACACAGGAAACATGCCGACTTGCCTCAAAGAGTCGCCACGAAATATTGGGTTAAACACACTGTTGACTTTAAAGCATCCAGCATGGTATTGTCTTCAATGTCACTGTCAGCATCACCATCATTATTATCAAAGTCAAAGGCTTCTCTCCCCTAGCAATGCCCACATTTATGAAATTAATGCTCAAGGCTTTTAAATAGAGCTTTTGCTCTGGCATTGGGGAGCTCCTTCACATACACAGGCTTAACCTAAATCTCTCCTCAAGGGAACATCTCTAGAGCACAGTGTCAAGTGGTGGCTGTGCATTAACTGACTCAGCCCAGGCAACAGCCCTCTGGGGCAGCTGGTACTAATGTTATCCCACTGTACAGAGGAGGAAGAGGTGGCATGGAGCGAGTAAGAGCCAGTCCAGGGTCATACAGCTGGCACATGGCAGAGCCTTGATTGGGCAGAATGGCCCTCTCCACCAGGCCATCCACTCCCTGCCAAAGGCCCAAGGCTCTTTTCTGTCTTTCTGCATCTACCGCCCACCTCCTGCCATCCCTCTGCCACAGACCATGGTGTGAGCCTAGGACGGGGTTGTTAGAGAAAACACAAGATGACCAGTTAAATTTACATTTTGGATACACAATGGATATTTCTCATTTATTTATAACAGACCATTTTTAAGTCACCCTCATGGATAAGTACATGGCATACCATATTTCAGACACATTTAGAGCTAGGTATAAAAGTGAATGTCAGATAAACAATCAATACTTTTTAGTATACGTATGCCCGTGCAATATTTGGGACACACTTATCCTTAGAAACTTATTAATTTATCTAAATGCTCCTGAAATTCTCATTTAACGGGCTGTCCTGGGGGGTGATATGACAAGCCTCCTGTGAGTTTGCCGTGAAGACAAGAGATGATTAGGCGGTAGCAGCACCAAGAAGGGGAGCCCACCCCCCAGAATGCTCCAGTGCCCCAGGTACCTTCCGGATACTTGTAGGTGCTGGTGATGTTCTGGCGCTGGTCTGACCCTACCAACTTGGTGCTGATTTCCTTCCCAATGGAACTGGTATTGTGAGCCAGGATTTCCTGGGCCTGGCCATCCCCAAAGAGCCAAATGACCTCATCGGCGTTCACCTCGGCAAACACAAATGGAGTGTCATAGGCCAGGTGGACCTCCCCGTCCCTGATGGCCTTCACGGAGGCAGGGCCACAGCAGAACATCCCTGTGGAGGGAACACAAGCTGTGGAGCAAGGCTGCTGCCTGAGAGGGCAGCTGGGCCTGGCAGTGGAGGGTAAGCATGAGGTGCTGTGCTGGGCAGAGGGGGAAGGGATTCCTGCTCCCATGGCCCAGCACCCTTCCCAGCCCCCACAAGGAGCCCAGACCCTAGTTCTACAGTGTCCTTCTTACTCACCACTGCTGGTTTGCTGGGGAGTGGGGTCCAGAACCTGCCACCCATTGTATCCCGGCGGGAGATCTCTCCGGATCATCCAGCACTCGTTCCAGACATGGAAATTCCTGCGGAAGGGAGTACAGAGCCAAGCACAGGGCTCTCCAGCGCAGGCCCTGTGCTGAGTGTCCTGCCTCACCGCTGCTTCCTCCGCTTGAAATAGATTCAAGCTGACAATCAAGTTGCAAGAGTACAAAGAATAACCTCTGCGGATTCACCTGGGGGCTTACAGTTTGTCCCATCTGCCGATCATTTGCTTTCTTTTGATATCATAGGAATGTAGACCTTCCCCACCCCCTGAATTATCTGAGAGTAAGTTGAAATCATCATGGTCCTTTACCCTAAAATACTTCAGTGCATATGTCCTAAGAGTAAGAATCTTCTTTTATATAACCCTTGTACGGCTATCAACCTTGGTGAAATAATAGAGCTGTGGTACATTGACCTAATGGACTATGTCTCGATCTTGTCTATTGAACCCATATAGTCTTTACAGGTAGTTAGTTCAGAACTTTGAGCCAGATCTCTCCAGTTTAGACAGAGTCAACAGCATGAGACTGGAACAGACCTGAATGTGTCGAATGTGGATGAGCTGTAGCAGTTACAGGACAGAGAAAACTGTGGATGGATGCTCTGCTAGCAAACAAGGGCAGGAGTAGGCACGTTGCATAGCAACGAAAGCTCTTGACCAGCAGAGTGGGAAACACCAGTGCCCCATTCAAAGACGGCCGCTGACCACGTGTGCCACTCTCTGAGGTCCTGGTTATGATCCACTCCCCGCCCATTAGGCTTCTAAAGGGGCTCTCTACGCCTCTTCTGAGTCTCCCAATCCAGGGCTTGGATAGTCATTTCACCCATTCCAGGTGTCACTCCACGTCACCCAAATTTTAGAAGTGCCATCTGTTCTGATTTCCCCTCATTGGTCCTGACTAAAGTGGTTTGAACCCTTGTGTGTCATTCAAAGGGCTTACATAGAAACTGGAAGGGGAACAACAGGAAACCAGGCTTGGGGTAGCAAAGAGAAGGAGGGTGAAATCAGGGCAAGAGAAGAGAAAGGGAAATACACATACACACACACACACACACACACACACACACACACACGCATGTGCGTGCTCTAAGAGGGTATGAGACAGAGGGGGAAGAAGTCAAGAGAGACAGGGAGAGATACACCGTCATGGCTATTGACAGGGGAAATAGAGAAATGGCCCAGACAGACATCGAGAAGGAAGAACACAGCTGTTAAGCTGTGTGCTCATTCGGTCACTGGCTTC